AGAATATGCTACCCCAAAACATGCCACTTTGGCTAAAGACAATTTTAAGCTAAAGGCAATTGAGAACATCAGACACAGGAGAAGCTCTCTGCCCTCCCCCCATCTATCTGAGGTCATACATTGCCCTTTTGTAAAGGAAATTTTCATTTGTAATGATAATTCCATTTGTAAAGTTGCCCTCCTCTCCAATATCAGAAAGTGGGGAATGATTCTTGTTATTAAAGATGGCACCAAGATGAGTCTGCATAATCAACCCCTATTCACCATTAGTTCCCCCATATATTTCCTAGTCACCTTCCCACAATTTACTCCCTAAAATCTCAAATTCCTGTCCTTTATCTAGTCACTTCTGTGTAATTTACCACACTGTGTTAAAATGACATAGAAGCCCCCTAGTCTAAATCCCTCTTGGAATTTCTTATTTCTTTTCTGTGAAGCTCCAGTGCATGGAAAAATATTAAAACCAAAAACATTTGTATGCCTTTTATTTAGATAATCCATCTTTTCTCAGTTTAATTCACAGGTCCCTAGATCTAGAACCTGAGAAGGCAGAGGAAAAAGGTTTTTTTTTTTTCCCTCTCTTACACATCTACAGTCACATTACAAACCAACCCATGTATCTGTCATCTCAGCAATGCAACTTGGCAACTAAATACTATAAGACAACATAACATAGAGGTTTGAAACACAAAGTGAAATAAAACTACATATAATGGATGTTATAAAGAGCATTTTAACTAGACAGAAAGTAAATTAGCAGAAATTGAATTTGAAAGAAATAACTGAGGTTGCTTTTCCCTTACTCATGAACATTTTGATACACAATAAAGACGCTGTAGTCTAAATGCCTAGAACTTTAAAAATAGCTGCATAAATTTATTAATTTGATATTTAACCATTTGAAATACTGTATAATTTCAGATTTTAAAATATAAAAATGTAAAATTCAGAGACATGAAGTAATTGTAAACAAAATTGGACCTCAGTTTTTCTCTTGTGATACTTCGACAATATACAAGCAATTTTCATCTATTCTTTTATGCTTCTTAGTAGGAACATGTATGCCTTATAAGTCACTGTCTCTTGAAATGGGTTCGAAAGTACAATAATAAGTATTACTGTTAAAAAGCAAAGAAAAAAGACAGACTTGGTAAATTCTGGGTTAGAAATATATTTCTTTGCTGTAATATATCTCAGAGCCTTTAAAGCTAATATTTAATTATGAATCCAGTGAACATGGATTAGAAAACACCATTTGAAGTAAATGGATCACTTAGATAATAAGTATTTGGCAAGGGTTATATTCCTGCCTGAATGGATCCTTTAGGTATCTTAATAAGCAAATTAATGGATCTGCTTCAGTCCTCTTGTAGTAGGTATCACAGTCACAAAAATAATCAATGATCCAAATAAATTAATTGCCAGATTTAGAGTTGGTGATCCCTCAATACTAGATTTAGAGGCTTTACATTGACTTGGTCTCTGATTCAGCACCAAATGTTTCAGAAAAGATGTATTAGATTTCTTAAATTCTCTTTTGTATGTAAATGGGAATACATAGTGTCTTAGTAATTTCCAGCATTTCTAATCCCTATCTTCCTTATTTTTTGAGTCCCTTATCCCCTTTTAGGTTCATCATTACTATTAATACTTTGCTGGCAGACTACGGACTACTGATGTATGACATTTACTGCATTTATGAACAAGCATCCTGAGGAAAGGAAAGAAAAACAATTCTTGCTCCCTATTGTCATTGTGATTCCAGGAATTGTTAGCACAATTTTGGCAACCTTGCTTAATACTCTTTAACAAGCTGAGTTAAAGAACTTTATTCTTTCAAACTTAAAATTTGTCATTATTTTGAGATTCATTAGTTTAATTAGTTAGAGCATTGTGCTAATGAGCCCAAGTGCGTGGATTTGAGTCACACATAGGCCAGTTAATTTTGTACAGAAAAAATATCTTGTTAGGCCCATTGTCATTAACCAAGCCTCTAAAGAATATCTACGTTTTGATCATAAAGGAAATTCATCACCACTGCTTAAAAAATAAAATAAAATGGAACAAGTAGGATCACACACATACGTAGGCAGTTCACTTCTTCATCATTATTCACTAATGGATCTTTGGCCTTTCCTCTGTTACCAGAAAGGGGTCCAGGTCCAAATCCCAAAGGAGGATTCTTGGACTTCACACGAGAAAGAATTCAGAGTGAGTTCACAGAAGAAAGTGAAAGCAAGTTTATTAAGAAAGTGAAAAAAATAAGAATCACTACTCCATAAGCCGAGAGGTGGCATGGGCTACTCTACTGAGTATACTTATAGTTATTTCTTGATTCTATGCTAAACAAGGGGTGGATTATTCATATGTTTTCCAGGAAAGAGATGGGGATTTCCCCGGAACTGAGGGCTCCTCCTCTTTTTAGACTACGTAGGGTAACTTCTGGATGTTGCCATGGCATTTGTAAACTGTCATGGCACTGGTGGGAGTGTGTTTTTGCATGCTAACATGTTATAATTAACGTGTAATGAGCAGTGAGGATGACCAGAGGACACTTTCATTGCCATCTTGGTTTGGTTGCGATTTGGCCAGCTTCTTTACTGCAGCCTGTTTTATCTGCAGGGTCTTTGTGACTCATAATTTGTGTTGATCTCCTGTCTCACCCTGTGACTAAGAATACCTAACCTCCTAAGAATATAACCCAGTAGGTCTCAGCCTATTTTACCAGCCCCTAAACAAGATTAATTTGGTCTGGTTCAAATGCCTCTAACACATCTAAACACACACACGATTTTCTTAAAGAAACTGACCCAAGAAGAAAACTCAAGATGTGGTCACATTTTAACTAACAAATGCTTCATTTTAACTAAAAAATTTCAAGTTGCATATTCCCTTATACAACTATGAACATTTTTAAAAATTGAAAAATACAATCTGCAGTATTGTAGCAAACATAAAAACAAGAGATTCAGGGGATGAGAATCTAGACTTGCTGAAGATTAGTTACACTGTATTCTCATAAAGGAATCCCATTCACATTCACTTTGTTTATAAATTATGATGTTCTTTTGTTTTAGGAACACAGTGTAATAAGAGCACAGAACATCAATTGGAATAGATAAAATTGCAATTGCTTCCTATCTCTTGTTATTTAAAAATAACAAAAATGACAACTTGTCTGAAGAAAAGATTTTAAATTTGACTAATGTTGCTTTGTGTGAAATATAATATCCTTAGCAGTTCAAAGAGGGAAAAACCTAATCCAAGAGAGAATTGTCATCATAGAACTCAAAGGAAAGACTGATTTGTTATTTTTCTATTTTATGTTCATTATAAAATTATATTTTATTTGATTTGTGAGGAATCTCATATATCCTTTAAATGTGACAGAAGATCATCTGAGAATAAAAATGTCTAATGACCAAAAGTCCAAAACTTGAAGAAATTCCATAATCTCAAAGTTGATAAAGGCCAGTCCTAGTTTACAGAGCTACATATGGTTATTGCACGCTGTACTTTAATGAAAGGACTATAATCTCTTCCATAAATGTATGGAGGTTTTGTTTCTATTTTCCCTTTAATCACTGATATAGCTAAGAATCGTACTTCAGAAAGCTACAGAAACTATTACATTTATTTTCAGAATTAACATTTGAAGTTATTTTTGTTGACCCAAATTAATCTACTCATAAAGGCCCAAACTTATAATGTAAGTTCCATTTTTAAAAATTCTGTATTTCCTCTGGAAGAATAAAAGACAGCTCTTTTGACATGGATAAATAGGGATGAATCCTGGTTTTGGGAACCTGAAACTGATACATATTAGCTCGCTCTAAAAAAGGAGTACAAAATTACTGTACAAAACTTTGTATAAACAGAATATTTGTTTATAGAGTAAGGAGAGATCACAAGAAAAGACATATGTCTAGAAGCTGACAAATATCACAAACATTATAGAATCCAAGAAAATTCTATACTTTTAATAATAAACTGCTTGACACATCTCTCTAAAATTTTTCTTTTCACATTTTAAGAACACCCGTGGATGCCTGAAAGTGTAAAGACTACCTAACCCTATATGCATTATGTTTTTTCCTATATGTACATATCTATAATACTTTTTTTCAACATTTTTGGGTGCCTATCATTGGATTGCCTTTTCATATGAAAATGATTTTGTAATATCAGGCCTCAGAAGAGGCCAGTGTATGTGAAGGGCCCTCAGTCTTAAACTTCATTAGCTCCATGGTAAAACTGTCTCTGTTTGTATCAGTTATTTAATCAATGTGTGGCTGTTCAAAAGATATAAAATAGAAACAACACATTGCTGCAAAATATGCATCAATATACATCTATATCAATATCTGTATCCACATCTATAACCATATGCATGCATATAAATGATCATGTGAATGATAAATTTTGGACTGTATTTCAGGGTGCAATACATCCTCAGAGAGATTCAAATTGTGTGGTGGGAGTGAGAGGGAATATTTATTTTATGCAAATAAATTGAGGTTGCCCATACCTATTACCTGCCTACTTCAGTTAAGTAGTGAAAGGGATAGTGACTTATACAATGCTGGGGTTGTACTTAGTATTGTATAAGTCACTATCTAGAACTAAAAACCGGACATGAAGTACAAAGTCTATTTAATGTATTCATATGGCTAAAAAGTGCCTAGAATATATAGTTATTCAATAAGTATTTGCTTACGAATAAACTAACAAATGAGTGAATGGCTAATACAGCTATACCCACCTCTCCTTTCTTCTGCCTCATTGTACCTCAATGACTGCTTTAGATGTCTAATGAAGTCCAATTTTCTGAGTGCTAAATTACATTGAAATATTTTCATCAGGTATTTCATGGCAATTTTTATGTTTCAAATAACAAAATTTATAAGTAAATTCTCATTTATTTTTCTAATAACAATTCTCAAAGTAATTTCATTTCTCAATACATAGTTATTGAAATTGAGAGAATTTGAGTAACTTACCAAATGTTCTACAGCTAGAATGTCATAAAATCACAAATTGAATCCAGGCTTTCCAGATTTTTAGGTAATATATATCATAGCCATTTCTTCTTCCTTGATGTCATGCTGTAAAAACCTGGCCAAAACAAAAGGAGCTTATTAAAATAAAATTGTGGTACATACATCACAGGTTTTAGGCAAAAATGTAATATGTCAAAAATAGTTACAAGTTCTTGTTGCTGTGTTACAACATACAGATTTATTCTATTTCTTTTCATTTTCATATCCACAAATTGCTGTTGTTTTGAAACTGGGTCTGGTATGGTTTGCAGCAGCAAGGTAAGGGATAACATGAATGTTAATAGAAAGGAAAAGTTATATGCAGAGTGATTAATCTCATCATGATAGGCTGACACGTTTGAAGAGCCAAGCACTTTTACTACTGCCAAGCAGTATTTTTCATACTATCTCAAAAAGGTCCCATGGTTGAATAAACTTTTAATATGGTCCTGCTGGACAGTCACAACACATATTTACATATTAAAGACACAGGAAATCCTCTAAATAAACCTGTTCCCATCTCTGTACCACACCTACTCCCCCAACTCCAATTTGTTCCTCTGCTGCCCCCTAGAGGGCCTTGGCCACAGTGCACAAGCCATCAATACCTTCTCTCCTAGTTCCTCTTTTTATCGCAGACTACACTGCTTAAACTCAGGTCCGTGGAGCTCAAAGTAAAGAGATCAGGAGTTTGGGAACAGGGTTTGAACACCAATCTATGGTCTTTACATCATTCGCCAACTGCTACCACCCTTCTCTTCCTTACAGAGTTTGCAGAAAGGAAATCATCATGAAGGCATGAGGTGACTTCAATTCCTTTCTTTGCTATCATCTTCCTTTCTCTCCACACAAGTCTCCAGATGAGCATTTTACCCCGCTGGAGTGCTTGTAGAAAAGTTAGAAAGAGATGTAGCATGGTGTAAATTTGAGAAGTTATAGTAGTGAAGGTGAAGAAAAAAATAAAAGAAAATAATTTAAAAGGAAAAAAGGATCCCTACTTGCTCCCCTCCTCAGGACCCTGAGTTTGTCTATTCCTTAGGTCCCACCTTCTTCCTTCTCTCCTCTTCTCTGAGATTTAATCCACCTGGGGGTAAAAGACTATCTTCTGGTTATCTGGGATTTATCTAAATCTAGTTTTGGGATCTAAATCTGGTTTTGGCAGTGTGGTGTTAAGTAATTCAGTCACACTATTCAAGGATAATAAATGTCATTGGATGACATAGCATTATTTATTTTGATAAACTGCAAAAGGTTGCATTGGTAAATGCAACCTACCCACTTCAGCATCTTCCATAGAATAAATGGTCCAAGGATATAACACATAAAATGAGAAGCTAGAGTCAAAAGTAATCTTCTTTGTAGGACAGTGCTAAAAAGTTTGTCCTTTCAGGATCATGACACTCAGCGAAGCAGGTAATATTTCCTTGACACTGAGGCAAGAGCAGCAGGGAAAGAGGCTGATGGAAATAAGCATGGAGCCAATGCTCCAACTATCAGAGTCCGAGCTCTGGTGCTAGCAATGGGTAGTACAGTGCCCCCAGATAACTGAGTTAGATGGCTCATTGTATAAACTAGACCACTAGGTTTGCACTTAGAGTAAAACTCAGATTTGGCCAATCCACTACAAGAACACTGAACCCTGGGCCTGAAAAAATACCGAATTCAAAAACCCATCAGTTGACAAGGCAGAGATTTCTGAAGGAGCCTTTGTTATGACAGGGTTAGGTTCAGCCTGAAAGAGAGATTAGTGCTTCAAGTTCCAGCAAGAGGGCTAGAGAAGGTGCAGACTAACAATGACAACATTCACAGAGGTGGGAATCTAGGTCCAGTACTTTATTTTCATTACTAATTTTTCATTCTGTTTTTCTTTTCTTTAAAAGGAAAACCATTCTGTGCTCCAAACTCTTTCCTTTCACTGTCTAGCCTGACAAAAAAAGACAACCAGGATAGAATCAATGGTGTGCCAAATTGCCTTTGTGGTTTCACTTTATTTAGAAATTACTCAAGAAAGGACAATTTCATTTAAAATTCAAGACACCTTTTTTATTATAGGGAAGTACAGTGATTCACCATTTTCTACCTTATGTGAAAGAAAATATAAAAGGAATAGTTGAGACCAGCTGCATTTTTGCAATTGAGAATAATCCCGGATTTGAATATTTTCTTTAAAGGCAGAAACTGACATCCAGCTAAGTTTTAGTAATGATGAAACAAAAATTGTTCAATCTCAAAGGAAAAACAAAAATTCTATGCCAATTCTCTAAACACACGTGTAAACATTGAAAATGGTATGTCTGCAGTAGTCCAGTCAATTAAAAATGGCTCAAAATAGCCACTCATTAAATACCCTATTGACTAAGCTATAGGCACTGTTTGCAAAAGAAAAAAAAGAGCATTTTTCCTACACATTTCCGTGAAATACACAGTATATTCATTATCACATCAGAAAATATAACTGATTTTACAATGCATACAAAAGTTAAATCTACTTAGTTCACAATCATATAATAGAAATAAAGAGGCTTAAAAAGTAAAGAAGGCTCAGAGTAGTGTGGGATTAATCCAGGATTCTTGAAAAATGTTTATTTGCATCAATCTCAATGTTGCTTTGGAAACATTATGTGGTTGGTTTAATGTGTGTGTGCATTTCCTAAACTGAAAGCAGTAGCTGATACCTATGACCTGAAGAGATGTCCACATAGAAATTTCCCCACTCACGTGCTGCCATCACAACACAGGCCAACAGCACACAGATGAAAATCTCATCGGGTACAGTTTGCAGCTATTCATTTGCAGAAAAATAAGAGTACAGTAGGAGAAATTCATTCTTCAGGGGAAAACAGCAACCTTAAAAACAACCCCACATTTATAATCATTTACAATCAGAGCTCGGGACTTCAACAAAGTTCAGCTATAAACATAAGGCTGTAATTGCCAGGGTCTTGTGAAGGAAACTCAGCTGTAGCTTCTATCCACTGCAAATGTGGAGCTGTTTAAGCCTACCAAAAAAAAAAAAAAAATCTTATATGACCTGACTACCAAACAATTCCCCACCCCTATTAATTAAAGACCTTGCTGGAGTAGTTAATAATTTTTATCAAAATCTTTGCCCCATAAAAAGCTCTTCTATTCCTCCCCTCCTCAGATGTTCAGTAAAGCTTTTCTCAGAGCAGAGTATGATTTCAAACTTTTCCCAATTATTGGCCCAATCACTATAGCACACTTCTAATATATATATAATTTTGGTAGCATCTTAAGCCATTACAGAGTCTTAAAAAAAAAAAAAAAGCCTTGCAAGTCATGTACAGGAGGGAATGGAGAAGTGTTGCTTTTCTTTCACAGATATGCCCTTTTCAAATTCTTATACTTTATACTGGTGGAGAAGGGGAAGTGTGTTGAAAGATTTCATTCAACTGTGTTTTCAGTAATAGTACCCTCTAGTGTCTCCAGCTGAGCTATGCATTTGGTGAGCTGCTAGGTAGAGCAGTTAAACTACTGACAACAGAGAGCTTTGCAACTAGCAGACCTTCAACCATTTCTGTATCTTTAGCTTCTGAAGAAATTCATTTGTCTTTTGTGTATCTGTACCAGTTTCAGCCTTATTATCATTTGTGATGTGAATGCCCGAACGCTAGAAATATCTACCAATTAAATATAAAACTGCCTGTACAAATGACGCTAGTAAAAATGCTTGGTATTGAGAAAGTACTCTTAACTTCTCAAAGCACTTGCATATACACTATAATATCTGTAGGTCACAATATTGTCCCCCTACCCGTACGACAGCACATGAATGTTTGTTGTTGCTTTTAAAGAGAGAAGTAAAATGATTTTACCTGGGATAAAGAGAAATGAATTCTTAAGTAAGGCTTTTCCTTTAAGCAGTCTCTATCCCACTGAGGTTTAAGTTATCTTTTAATTTTCCTTAATGCATTTTTTAAATATCTTGGAGAGTGACAACCTTTTAGCTTTATGTTAGACATGGTGCTGAGCATTTTAGGTGAACTACCTTATTTAAATATCACCATAATATTCTGAGGTGGAAAGGTTATCATCATCTCCAATTTTATATGAAGAATTATAGCTTTTTAGGACAGCTCTGTCAAAAAAACTATGTAATGCAAGCCACACATGTAATTTGAAATTTTCTGAAAATATTTAAAATACACAGGGGAAATTGACTTGATATATTAAACCAATGAGTCAATATAGCATTTCATCATGTAACTGATATGCAAAGATAATATATTGTATTATATTATATTATTGAGATAGGTACTTGCTCTGTTGCCTGGGCTAGAATAAAATGCCACAATCATAGCTCACTGTAGCCTTGAGTCCCGAGCTTAAGGGATGCTCCCATCTCAGCCTCCTGAGTAGCAGGAACTACAGGTGAGCACTGCCATACCTGTTGAAGTTTTTACTTTTAGTATAAATGAGATCTCACTATGTTGCTCAAGCTGGTTTGGAACTCCTGAGTTCAAGCAATCCTCCTGCCTTGATCCTCCAAAGTGTTGGGATTGAGCCACAGCAACTGGCCAATATATTTTACATACATGTGTGTAGTTATGTAATATACCTTCAAATTTTGGTGGGTACTTTACACTCTAAGCACATATCAAATAGGGCAAGCCACATTTCATGTGCTCAGTAGCCACATGTGGATAGGCGTTATCTTATTCAACAATACAGGTCTAGAGATTAATTTCTTCACAGCCAGACAGCTAGAACATGGCAGAGCCAGGACTCCAAATTTGGTCAAAAACCAAAGGTTTTTCTTAACCACTGAGCATCACTGTCTCCTACTGATTGCAATTGTTGCTGATGGTTTAATATTAAACATTAAAAATATCATGGAGAATGTGTTTTATCCAATCTTGCTTGCTGTTTCATTTGACACACCCATCTACTTTTCCAATAGCAATGATAACCTAACATTTCTGTGCAATGTATAGTGCAATTTGGAATGTACAACGCAAAAACATGAATGGAATTTAGTACAAAATGGTGTCATGTGAAACAAGCAAATTACTCTGTTGTCATCTCTCAGCATGACCTGTACATTCTCTCTCTGAACAGAGACTTTATGAAAAGACAAATCACAATGAAATGACAGATTGCTTGATAAGAGATGTTTCATGCAAGGGGAATTGAAATAACAATATTTGATTGGCTTCATCAATCTCATATCAAGGGTGATTTTGCCAGAGAGATGAAAATGTACATGAATAGGTGTTGCCAATGCTCATTTTAGGAGCATTCTTTTACCAGGATTCCATGGCTGATCAATCCCTTTTTAGATGGACATGTTATTTCTTGGTTTAAATCAATTCTTACAGGCATGAGAAACATACTTTCTCACTGATGTTTTTGAAAACTCTTCTTTGATCAATTATATAATCATAATGGCTTTATAGTTTATCCCTCAGAAAATAGATATATTTCCATGTTTATGGATATATATTACTATAATTTCCCTTTTAGGATCATAGCAGAACGCTGATCAAGGTTCCTAAAGGGAACACTGAAGAAACAAAATGCAATAAATATCACAGTTCCTTCCTGACACCTCATCCAAAACCCAGATACCCACAGTGCCCTTTTTGCTTTTGAGAGCTTTTGTTAATCATAAAATTTTTGATGTAATGCACATTCTGAAAATGTGTCATTACACAATCAGAAGAGCATATGCTGAGGGGCAGCACAATGGACTGGAAGTAACATGGGTTGGAATTTCCTGTGTATTTTATAGTTATAATACCTTGGGCATTTTTTACCAAGTCTCTATTTTCTCATTTTTTAAAGAAAAAAAAAATGAGGCTAATAATACCTACCTCATAGAATGATTTGGAGGATTAATAGGACAATTTATATAATGCAGATGGTACAAAAAAACAACATTCAGTAATGGGGTACAAAAGAAAAACATTCAGTACAGTCCTTCTGTCTGTAGTCAAAAGAATCTTCATCAGTCCTTTTAGAGTTAGAATGCCTAGAGGTTTTTGCCAGGTGTCCTGGCTTTTGGTTATTCCACCACTCATTGGTGCCACCATCAGACAGAACACAGAAGAAAAGAAAATGGTAAAAAAAAATTTCATTATTTTCAGATGTGGATTTCTGTCAGTCTTTTCAACAGACTCAATTTCTTAGGTAATTCTCTGGATTACTTAGGTCAACTAGTAGAGTCTCCTTGGTCTGTAAGTAATGTTTTTACTCTACACAGATCATTTTCTATTGGACCATACACTTAAAACTAAATGTTCTGCTCCATGTTATACATAGAAGAATTCAGATTAACTATAAAGTAACCATGTGGCTGAATTTATGAGTTATGTCTCCTTTAGCCCCATGGTCTTGTGCAAATCTCCTGTCCTCTATGAACTTGTTTCAGGAATTGCAAAATGGAATAATAATATTAACCTCATAAGTCTGTCATGATAATAACTTTAAATACTTTAAACGGTGACCAAATAGTTCCCTTCTCCTGCCTCGGGATTAAATGAAAATCTTCAGAAATCAATTAATTGGTATCTAATGTAGATATTATGAATAATTATTAGTATTCTAAAACCACTTCCATAGCATGGCTTTGCCACACCGTCCCTGGATCAATCAGTGATTTTATTTGCATTGAGTTCCTGCCATCTCCCATGACACAGTCTCATCCAGTAGTGCAATCCCCAAGAGTCGGAGCTGTAACCATTTAGCAGCTTCTGATTTCCCCTCTCAGACATTTCCTAGCTCCTAAGAAGAGTACAATGCATGTGCTGGATATTGTGAAGAATAGAGGGCCAGTTACAGGAGTACTAAAATGTAATAGTGAAGTGTCCCCTCGCACCTGTGCCAGTAAACACAGGTGTTTCTCTGTTTTCTTTCATGCAGACCTGCATTCAGCTGCCGTGCTGATGCTTCTCATAGTAGTATGGCTTTGGGTATAAAAATATGCAAGAAAGTGACATGAGGAATATTTGAATGAAGATTTTAATCTTTAAATTATCAGAAATTGGAAAGGAGGCAGCTAAGAAGGTGGAGAAGGATGTACTGGGGAAACAAGTCATAAGGATTTGCCTTTCAGTTAAAAAACTTTCCCTGAAGAAGCTGTTAGAGAAAAGAAACTTATAATTTGACGATTTTTTTCCTTCTTGATATTCTATCTCTATACAGATGTCATTTCCTCTTCCATTCAGTACACACAAAAAAATAAATGAATAAAAGTAAAGAATGGATACTGTGATCTTGGTGCTCTAAAACGTTCTCTACTTTTTCTCCTTTTATTTCAGAAATAAAAGAGCAACATTCTTTCAAAAAATTGCACAGCACCAGAAAGATAAGTTTTTCTACAGGATAAGCACGGAAAGTGGATTTTCCCCATAAAATCCTACACCTTTCTGGAGAGAGGAATTTAGAAAATTCACCTGGTTCATTCTCTGGCCTCTGGGTAAATTTAAGGAGTTGCTTCTTAAAACAAGAATAAGAGTTGACCAGCTGGAGTGGTTTTGATGTTGTTGCTATTGGTTTTTTAATCACATGCCATGAAAGGGGGAATTAGCCCCTACTTACTTATACCCACGATCCTTCGCAGGCATAAACCAGCCACATAGCTCCTGGCAGCTTTAGTGGTCCTTGGGGACCTGACACCCTGATACCCACCCAGCCGTCTCTCACCAGGCAGCCAGAGCTCGCTGGCAAGCACCAGGCATGAGGTTCCGGGCTGGTTTCCTCCCTCTCTTGCACCCTCTCCTACCTTGGAAATGAGCCGTCCACGCCCGCGACGCTGCCTGGTCTCTGGCAGCAATGCCGCCTGACTCACTCCTGCTTGATCTCTGGGGTAGCCAAATGCTAGATCGCTAGAACTTCTCCTTCCCTTTCACAGACACACACACACACACACACACACACACCCCTTCGCTGCCCTCAGAGGATCAATCTGGACAGGCGATCGAAATACCAGACCCCGCTCACAGTAAAGTATGATATATGCAGACAGTCTCTCAGCTCCAACTGTGACTTTGCCAGGCTCCTGCCCCTACTTCCCCTAGTCTTCCTTAAGTATCCTTTGTGTGAGAAAATGGTGCTGCAGGATGCTTGTTCACTAGCTGGAGCCAGGGCAGCCAGCGTGATCACAAGGAAAACACACACAGGAAAAATCAAACTTCTCTGAGAAAATGTGAATGAGTGAAACTTAAAGGGAAGTCTAAGAGAGCAGCGAGCAGAGGACCGAGGAGAACATTTCATGCTCTGGGTTTTGCTCCGGAAAGCTAGCAGCCCGAAAGCGGCGCGTTTTCTCTAGCAGCGGGTCCCGCACGCGAGAGTGCTGCCAGCGCGCATTCTGCCTCCTTCTCTGGGAGGCGAGCAGTAACTTCCTAAGCTTACCTCCATCTCTCCCCCGCCCTTCTTTCTGGTTCTCCGTCAGCGGGGAGGGGCCGCCCCCGGATCGACTGGGGAGGTAAGGTGCAGGGAGTGGGGACCAGAGGGGGGTACTCAGCAGTTGGTGCTGCTCCTTCCCTTCCCAGCAGGCGGTCCGGACACTGGTTTACTTCTCTCCCCACGCCTTTCACTGGTTCACCCCCCTTCCTTCCCCTTCTCCCCCTCTGTGAAGTCCCTCCCCCTCGCCATTGAAAAGGGCTGGCTCGGCACTGGCTCCTTGCAGTCGGCGAACTGTCGGGACGGGAGGAGCCTTAAGCCTGAGCTGCAAGCAGCTGCCCGCGCGGCAAAGCTGAAGGCAAGCCAAACCGAGTGCGCTGAGTGGCAGCGGCGACCCAGGCAGCACCCGCAGCCCGGGCGGCCCGAAAAGCCTCAGAAACTGCCTCAGCGACTCCGGCTGCTCTGCGGACTGCGAGCTGTGGCGGTAGAGCCCGCTACAGCAGTCGCAGTCTCCGTGGAGCGGGCGGAAGCCTTTTTCTCTCCTTTCGTTTACCTCTTCATTCTACTCACAGAGGCTTCGATCAGTGGGTAAGTAACCGGACTGGGTACCTGTACAGGGTGCTGGCAGGGAGGCGTGAGTTCCACACTTAGTGTGCGGACACTGCCCGCTGCCTGTGCCCGAGGTCTGAACTATGACAACGGGGTGGTTTTAAAGACGCTTTTGCTATTCTCCCTTCCCCCTTCTCTTCCCAGGAGGTAAGAGAAAGAGCAAACCCCGGAGGTGAGCGCAGGGAGAGTATCTTTTTAGCACTACCACCAATGCGCCTGGTTACTTTGAGAAAACTCTCACTTTTGTCAGAAATGTGTCGGCGCAGGAATTTCCCCAACGTTGGGGAATAAGAGAGCAATAAGGTCTCTCCCTTTAATGGGTACAGCTAGCTTTAGTGAGGATGAGGGAAACTCTAAGATTGGGTCAGGTGTTGACAAGAGCACGTCCCGGACTCCCGGACTTGCCTGGCAGAGATCAGAGCTGAGAGGCGATACCTCCAGCGGAGAAACTGCCCCCAGCCTCGCTGCCCTCCTCTGGGGGCTCGGGTTTGGATCTCTGCCAGGTTGGCTCCAACCTTTGAGGGTACGAACCTTGGCGCAGAGCAGAGAGCCAGGAGAGCCAGGAGCGCACAGGGTTCCCGGTGCTGTTTCTCTTGGCGCTCGCCTCCCCGCCCTTCCTTCCCGCCCTATTTATGGGACTGTACTCAGCCAGCACCTGCTGGATATGGAGATGGTAGGTGTGAAAATTCTGCCTATCTTTTTATAAGGCAACTTATAATCGAGCCGAAAAACGGCATCATTTTCTCATTTTAAAAAAATGACTTTTCTAAGTGTTGCCAGACATCTAAAGAAATGATTTGTAATCCCTTAGCCAAATAAATAAATCAATAAACCGCCTACCTATCCCATAAATAGATGGTGTTTTCTAAAAGAGAACCGAGAAACAGTTCGCGTCCTCACAAAGGAATTCTTTTTCTTAAAGCGCAGAGCGATAACCGCCCCCTCCCCGACCCCGCCAGAAAAGGAATGTCTCTTTTAAAAAAGCTTAATCGGAAAAGGTGACTTTTTAAAAAAGCGAGTAGCCGCAGACCGGTGCATCTTTTAGACTTTAGAAGAGCAGAGCAGCAGTCCGACCGGGTTGCAGCTGGGACTTGCATCTGAGCGCTTAGTCTCAAAGGGACTTGAGGGGTAGGAGGAGAGGTCACTTTCTCAGAATGCATAGCCCCAGCCGCTTCTTTGCCTCTGCCCAGGAAAGACTCTTACAGCTTCACGGAAGATGGGCCCTTTGGCTTCAGAATGATTTATTTCACCTTCCCCTGCTTCACCCGCCTGCGGCTTAGGGTGTGGGGCGGTGGGGGATCCTGTGAAGTACTTGTGGGGAACCCTAGCCTCTCCGATGCAAAATGTGGGCTGGGAGCTGGGAATCGATATTTGCGCCACTGCGGCACACACCCACAAAGCAAAAACCGTGGGGAAGAGGGGTTAGGACAAAACAAATAGAATGAAAGCGCAACAACAAACAATAAAATTTTGAAAAGTGTCCTTGTCTTGTGTGTAAGCATCCCAAGATGGGATTGAAACCCAGCCTAGGAACTGTTTGTACGAAGAAAAGTGTGTGGAAGAAAGTGGTTGAAAATCTGGGTAGAAGGGGGGGGGGCAGCAAAGATGGGGAGGAGGCGATGGTGTCATAGCTGTCGTCTGTGCGCTCTTAGCGCTGCAGCCAGGAAACAACCTGAGGAGCATGCGGATAATTCCGAACGCCAAGCACAACACCTGAGAAGATAGCGGTGCTTTGTGACTTAAAGCGACCGTCTTCCTAGGTCCCCTAAAAAGTAAAACAGGCGTGACTCAAAATAGAAAAGGAACTGGTATTTGCGGGCACCCTTGCAACTTGGTAAAGACTTACAGATTTCCACTTTTAATCTTGTTTGAAACAAACTCCCGCAATCCCAGCAGGGAATCAGCGCCAGGGCTGGCCTTTCCACTGTGGGTCTCTCTCTCTCTCTCTGTGTGTGTGTGTGAGAGAGAGTCGCGGCGGGGGTGGGGGTGGGGAAGCAATTGAAAGCAAGTCGAAGTAATAGTATATGTACACGTTTCCCCCTTTCTTGCCTTTGTCTGGTTCATCGGAGAGAGCGCGGACTGTGTGCAGGCGGTTTTGACGAAAGAACCGAGAGATGGATGCGCTAAGGTCTAAAGATACCTTTCTCCCTCGACTAAATTAAGAACTGCCGCGTGCAGCTCCCGAAAGCTGAGTCCCGCGGCAGCTGCCAGGGCGTCAGGCTCGCCAAGCGGCGAGGGAGCCCCTTTGCCTACCAGGCCTGAGAACCCTGTTCTTCAGTCGCCTTCGCAGGGGCAGCCCCTCCTTCTGGCAATGATGTCAGCTGCAGAGAGACTTGGCCCGGCCGCTAGGAAGCCGAGTGGCAAGTCCGACTCGCAAGCGCGAGCAGCCCTGCCCCGCGCGCTCCCTGCGCGCAGCCGCCCTCGCGTCCCTTCGGTCCTTCCCCGGTTCCGGCTCGCAGCACGCCCCTTCCAGTCCCTCCTCCTCAGAGGCGTGCTAAGGCGAGGGAGGCGGGGGTGGCCACTGCTGACTGGTCGCCGCCGGTTTTAAACCCGGGGATCAAACCCAGTTTGGGGTCTTCCCCCCCATCCATTTCCTCCTTCCCTCCGCGCCCGAGCTCTCTCCCTTTTTCAACTTGCACCTTCACTATTCACAGTGATTTTACTTATTTAGCAGCATTTTAGAGGGCAAGTGTTCCAGATGCAATGATAGTAGTTACTGGTGTTAAATTTCTGCTGTTTTCTCTCCCCTCGGGTGATTAAAAAGAAGGCTGTGAAGACCGGCTTCTTTAAAACCCCGTGGCTGCTGCTTCGCCTGTCACAGAGCACGCTCTCTAGAAGGCGGGGAGGGTCATCTTCCGCACAAAATTGTGCGGTGGGGGAGGGTTTTTAACCTTAGGCAAAATCGCAGGCTGGGGAGTCCCCTTCACTGAAAGAAGAAACTGGAAATTGGAAGTTGGGGAAAGGCTGTATCCTCTACTGCCATAGGGGAGAGGCCACCATGCTCTTTATTTTAGAGACACGCGCTCCAAATTGGGAAGATGCAGGAATAGGTTTCTTTAAGACGGAAGCCCTCTACGGCTTCCCTTCTGAGCTTGCTCTTCTTGTCTTAAGGAGCAAGCCCCTGCTTTCCCAAATTTGAGGCTAATCTGTTTTCCTGATTGCCTACAGTTCCTTCTTCAGCTTTGGTAGGAAAGCGGCAGTGTGCAGTTGGAGAAGGTTGCACAGGGCAAGAGGGAGGGGCAGAGGCAGGGCGTTTAGAGGCAACTGGCGTCTAGAGCAAAATTACATTCCAGGGGAAATTACCTTCCAGGGGGGTCGCAAGCAACTGCTTACCTATTGTGTTTTGGTTTGGACGCAGGTGAGAGATGTGGGAAATGGGAGCAGGAGCGAAGAATTACTCCATTTCGTAAAACTAGGATTTTCCCCCCTTCCTTTTCTTCTTCCCTTTGATGAAAAGCGTCCCTTTCATGACGTATAGCTGGCAGTAAACTTAAAGTTGCGGTGCGTTTGAAATACAGGAATGGGAAAGAAACTCCTACCAAGCATAAAAACACATTTATTTTCTAGAGCTCAATCAATCCTGTATTTGCTAAGGGTTGAAAGCAACTGAGTACCCCACTCCATGCCACTTCCCCCGGGTCCCCGGCCTTTTTATCACCGGAATGGATTCTGAGGGACGCCCAGGTAATGCTCGGTTTCAGCAGCAGAAAGGCCTGGCAGAAGGGATTGTAGGTTTCATATTATTCCCTCTCTTGGTATTCAAAACTTTATATTTTTTTCAAGATAGAAATTCCTGATAGAGAGCTTCCAGACTGCTGGTGGCAGGGAGGAATTCTGGTTAAGGAGATTCAGAAAGCAGAAAATTCTTTTTCTCTGTGCAAGCAGTCTGCAACAGCCTTTAGCTAGGATATATAAGATTCTTGGTGGAGCAAGGGGAGGCACATCAACAAGGAGAGTTTATCTAAACCCCTGGCTTTAAGCTACATTGAAGAAATATATGTGACTGACATGTTTTCTTAGTGGAAAAGAAAATTATTCAGGGAGTGAAGTTTTGAAAGCCAATTCTCTCCAATAATCTTGCTTCCCATATTTTGAAGGAGGTGTCATCCCTGTATTTATTCACTAAAGAATCCACAAACTTTAATTAGTCACCTACTGTGCCAATGTGCTAGGCTCTAGAAATGCAAAAGGGAGTATGACAAACTGGCATGGGCCTCTTTGAGCCAGGACACTCTTATAGATCTAGGATACAATGTGATCAATGATGTAATTGAGCATAATGGAGGGAAGAATTAATTTTTGTTAACAGATTGAAAAGAGGTTCATAAATGAGAGGTCTGTGGCTTTAAAAATAGGTATTCCTAGTCAGTCACTAGCAAGAAAATATATCTGGAAGGTCATGCCCCATACAGACTAAGTAAGCATGAGGGCTTGATGTCTTGCTACAAAGTTTTGAGGTGTATGTGTGTTTTGTAGACCTAGGACACCTTTGAAGATATGTTTTCCAGCAAATTTGTTAAAGTAACGACAAAAAAAAAAAAAATAGCCCGAGAAAATGGGACAATAGATAGCACACATTAGAAATATTGTTGTTTGCATTTAAATGAAGAATTGAATAAATTGATGCCTTCAGTAGAGAGTGAAGGCACATATGTTAAGAAGATAACATCCGGAAAAGAGAACAAATGAATGAAAAGGGCCTAAAACTGATCAGTACAACTAAGAAACAAACGAAAGCTACTTTGGGGAAGAAAATTTCTCTTTAGGCATCGTCATTTATCCAATTTGATTGTTTTACTCATCTCACTTTTCCCATTCAGTCTTCAAAAGCCCCCATCTCCCGCCTATTGATTAAACTTTCTTTGTCCTGGGGAGACCCCCCCCCCCGACCACTTCAGCCACTTCCAAGCACCCTCATCTTCACCCCACCCCATTTTCCACCCACATCCCTGCATCATCTCTGAACCTACATCATCTAA